TTTTTTCTCTTTTTTGTGACATAATTTCAATACTCACTTTTCTAATCGATCTCCGAGCAGCTTCGCTCGGTCGGCTTTCAGAGGCTCATATAAGTCTTCTACTTCTAAAACTTTCTTGTACCCTGTTCTGAATATCTTAATGGTCCACCTGTTTCAAGGGTCAATATGTGAAAATTAGATATTCGCTTACCAAGTAGCGTTAGATTGCAGATAATATAACGATAAAAACACGGCAAAACTCGGAATTAAAAGGGATTAGAAACAACTTCGTGTGGAATTATGTTTCGCGGCATGACATTGCGCTTTCATTATATTAGCCTCGCGAGATGCAGCGTCATCTTTGAAGACAAGGTAAATTTGCGTGAAGATAAAGAGTAATTTGTGGTAAAAATCTGTTTTACGTGGTAAGCAGCACGTACTTACATTTACAGCACGCATTTTGAAATGTCATTACGAATCAGCTGTTTCTCACATCTAAATACTTATTAACGCAATAAATCCTTGTAATTCAAAAGTTGAATATGATAACATCAAATATTTAATCATTCGAATATATTTACAGATGTTTAAATATTTATTCAAAAATTATTATAAAATTATCGACTTTTTAAATACCCGAACTTTTTCTTAGATGTAATATAATGTATTTAACTTCTCTGAAATGTATGTAATAATGTACGAGATATGGAAGTGTAATTATAATTCAAGAAAGTAATTGTAATCATAGACAAGCTTTAGTCAGCTGTTTCGATATTTATAATCCAGTTAATCGTAAATCTAAGAATCGAAAACAAATCTTTAGTTATACTACGTTTAGTTATACTACGTTACTATTATTCAACGTTTGAATGCGAATTCAAGCGCTTAGACACCTCCAGATTTCGCAAAGAGCCCGAGGAATCTCGTTGTAAATGAGTCTAAAGATCCGGAAAAGTCGTGCGAACTCACCACCAAAGCAACACCGACAAGAAGTTCGCCTTCTCCCGCGGATTCGGCTTCGATTTGATCTTCGTTGAATCCATCGGTCCTTATACGCGGCATTAACTCGTCGCGAGCTGCCACTTCGACGGTTAAAAAGCACTCAATTAATTTATCGGGTTAATCAACGATTTCACACTCCGACGCTTTTGCGTCGAATAATCG